GCCTCAGAAATCCCCATAATACGGAAGATCCTCTCCATCTTCCGGATCCACTCGGCCACGGCTAACGGGCCACTCTCCCCAGTGAAACGGGGTGGATCATACGTACGGAATCGGCTGACCACAACAGCCTGATCCTGCTCAACTAGTGCCTGGGGATCTATACGCGGTGCCATTCTCGGTTATTCGGGAAACGCTTGGATTGATTAGTATAGCCGATTAAGAAATAGCCATACTACTTTTGAAATAATAAGGAAATAATATCCGAAAACACCTAGCTTGGCTAGAGTTCCGGTATACTTAAACTTTCGGTGTTCTGGCCCGTAATGGAGTTCTGACTTAGTCTAGAGTCCTTGGACTTAGCTGTTCTAGAGTTCTGTCTAGAGTTCTTGTCATTTGCTTATCTTTCTAGAGTTCTCCATCTAGAGTTCTTTCTTTTCTTATAGGAGGATAGGTATCTAGGCCCCATATTTGAACTGAATTTAGCACTTGCAAAACTTAAACTGAGTCAGGTGACTTACCTCGGAGTCGGCGCGGATGAGCGTGGCGTGGTCATGCTTTTCTAAACTTTGAAAGTATGCAGAAACGCAAATCTGCGCTCTGATACCACCTTCTGTCACACCCCGCCTTACTACTAGCTTTGAAAATCAGAGTAAAATTTTTTGTTTTTATTTTCGAAAGAACGTGCGAGCTGGGTTTTCGAAAATACTGACTTATTGCGGGATGTGGCAGATAAAAACTTAAACTGAAACTTGGGCTTGCCCACAGACATAATAAAACATGCAACCAACTGTCCGCTCGCGGATTATGGAATTATACATGCATAGTCTGTACTATCTCGCACTGTCTAGAAGAACTCGCTGGCGGAAGCATCCGAAATACGAATACATAACATGCGTACATAAACTGAATAAAATACACATGATCATAAATCTAGGACATAAAAATGCTGGTAAGATATGTACGACTCTCATGACCACGCTGCGCCACATTTGTGCTCATCCGGCACGCTCGACTCCGTCTCCTGAAAAACACAATGGGGGCGTGAGCAAACCACTATGCTCCGCAAAGACCAGTACTGAACAAAACATCATCTATAATAACGTATCATGAAACATAAATATATAAGAGCTGAAACTGTAAACTGATCTCTGATGTCTGTTCTGATCTGTGGTCAAAAGACCCTCGGCCGTAGCCGCTCGTGTGCACACGCCGATGGGGTAGAAAGGGCCTCGCCCCTCCCAACGGTCATCAGGTGGGTATAAAGGCCTCGGCCACCCAACCCGGAACTAAACTGTCTCAAACATACCTCTGCCATGGTACATATATTATCTATGATGTGACATCCAGTACATGACCCCCACCTGAATACTTGAAAATCTGAACGCAAGTGCGGATGCTGGAGTAGCGGTCGGAGGCTCGACTCTCCTTAGGCTACATGAATATTTGAGTAAAATAATGCTAAGTATAATGCTCAGAATATTTAATTATATGCTAAAATGCTCGGACATATCTACGCGATTAAACTGGACTGGACTGGCTCGGAAAAATACTGAAATTTCCGGAACTTGACTCGGATCAGAAATCACGAGTCAAAACTGACTCGAACCGCCGGTCGAACCGGCCGGTTCGCTGGCTTGCCGGACCGCCGGCTCGACTGGGCCGGGCGGTCGGGCTGGGTTCGGCTAGACCGGGCTCGGTCCCGTGCCGGGCCAGCTGGTGCCCGGGCACGGCGCTGGGCACGGCTGGTGCGACCGGGCTCGGTCCCTGGTGCCGCTGGACTTGGCTAGGCGCGGACTGGCGCTGGTGGGCACGGCCCGGGGCTGCTGGCACGGCCCGGGCACGACTGGTGCCCCTCGGGTGCGCGCTGGGCACGGCCGAGGCTTGGCTGAAGCCCTGTCGTGCGGCTGGGCACGGACTGAGGGTTGCTGGGGCGCGCTGGCGTGCACTGGGCACGGTACGGCGCGGACTGGCACTGGTCAGGGGCTACGCGGGCGCTGCCGGGCGCCCTGGAGGGTTCTGGGCACGCGGGCGTGCTGCTGGGCACGTCCCGGGCCGGCTGGGCTAGGGCAGACGCGGGACAGACACGGGCAGAGGCCACACGGGCGCTACTGGCCGTCCCCGAGGTCACTGGGCTCTCGGGCGTGCTGCTGGACACGCCCCGAGGCCGACTGGGCTCAGCTGACCCTGCTCGGGTCAGCCCTGGACTTGGCACGAGGCTCTGGCACGAGACCTCGTGCGCTGGGCTTGGCACGGACGCTGCCGGGCGTCGTGCGCATGGCTGGGCACGCTGGGTGCCATGGCCACGCGTGCTGGGGCTACTGGGGCTTATGCTTGGCACACGGGCACGCACTGGGCGCTGCGGGCGCTGTTGCGTGCACGCGGGCTGTGCCTCGCGCTTACCGGGCGCGGGCACTGGCTAAGGCTACCCTCTGCAGGCACGGACAGGCACTGGGGCCGGGCACTACCGCACTACGTGCGCGGCCAGTGACCAAGGCCGGCCCTTGCCGGACCTCCGGCGACTTTTCCGGTGACATGCAACTCCAAACATCATGATATGGTAAAATAAGCACAAATATCACATAAAACACTAGTGGACCCCGGGTCCACATGCATGACACTCGGGAGGGCCTAAATGGCACGTACGAGCAACTTACGTCCGAACGAACATTCATAACTTACAAAACTACTCAGGGCCGAATGTTATACATCACAAATGATGACTATAGTGGCTAACACTTAGGTCATAACATGCATGCATGAGGATGGGCCTCGGGTGGCCAAAATAGCGTATTTTCATGAATGAATTGACCAAGGCAATGAACTCCATTTATTCTCAAATTTTTACAGCATCAATGGTATGATATTTAAGGGTGATTTAACCAACATTTTCGACTTTGGCATGCATGCAACTAAAATTTTATTTTTAAGGCCATTTAATTCAAAAATTCGTAAATCATATATAATGACATGCATGGCTCGGTTTCTCTTCATGAAAAATCTTAAAATATCATAAAATAATTTTGGGAAGAAGTTGCCTCGGACTAACCTTCACCAAAATGCAAAAACGAAAGCTAGGGCTCAAATGGTGGCTAGGTGCGGCTTTTGGGTGTGAGCTTGACTTGGAGATGGTTATGGCCGAGCTTGGTGTACTCAAATGACTTATAAAAATCCAAGAAACACTTGGATAGTGATAAGCCACGAGAGATTATGCTTGGAGATGGCTGAGGCGTGGTGTGGCACTCCCCCGGGACTACACGCGCGCAAGGAGCTGCGGGTAGGGGCTCTCGGCCTTGGACTCTCTTCTCTCTATTTTTGCTGAACTCTCTAAGTCTTAAAATGTCAAAATGTGCAAGAGCCATCATCAAAACGGATTAGGGGCTTAAATAGGGTGATGGGCGGATATAACTAGGCTAATGGTGTGAAGTTCCCATTTTTTTAAAGTGTGGGGACATAGTGGTCTTGGGGGTTGAGTGTTGCACGGTCTTAGAGACCATTTTCAGAGTATAATATCATAATGGAGAGGTCAGGTCAGGTTTGGAGGTTGCATGGGGGACAAGGACAAAAATACTTGAATAAACTAATGTGTGCACATGCTTCACTTTGGCAAATGATGTGTTGACTTTCCCTTAACAATGCTTAGGGCCAAATTAGCTTAATCTAACCCTTATTAAGTCCTTAATAACCGCATGAGTTGGGTCATGGAGGATTTGGGCCGAAAACATATGAAATGGGCTCAAAATGTTGGACTGTCCCGCTGCCAGCGCTGGGCCTGGGCGCTGGCCCTGGGCGCGGCACTAGGCCTGGGCGCTGGGCTGGCACGGGCTGGCGCGAGGGCGCGTGCTGGGCTGCGCGGGTGAGGGCTGCTCGCGGGAAAAAGGGCTTGGGCCAAGTAAAATGGTTTGAAATGGCTCCCCAACACTTAGAAAAAATTTGCAAAGTGATGTTAAGGCATGGGGACATGCCCTTGGGCTCGGTTAAAATGATCAATACTTATACTTTGATATTATTATACACTTAGAAAAGTATTCTAAGTATAAAAATACCAATGTTTGGCCATGCTTGGAATTTACCTGAAAATTTACTCGGAACCAAACTAGGGTTCGGAGTCGATAAATTCTCGAATTGACATGCTATTATTTATCAACCCAAATTAATGGATTAATCTTAACTTATACTTGAGATAGAATTATTCAAAGAATAATTTATCATGTTTGAGCATTTAGCATAAATAATATAACTCGATAATTTCTAAAAATTACAGATTTCACTTATAGTCGAGCAGTGAAATCGTTCTGAATATTATTACTGTTTTGGGGCGTTACACGAAGTCCTAATAACAATGATAGCAATAACCTTTGTTACTGATATAAACTAAAATAAACTATAATTTTTAGAATTACACTTTTGGTATAAGAATATGGTACCTCAACGTTAATGGTTTTGGTTGAATTTTTCAACCAACTTTTCATCTCCTATGATTCGGTTCACCGTGTATGATCCACTGTATCCACTAACTTCTTTCGGCTCGACCAAGATCTTAAACAAAAGTGTCTTACCAACCACACCTTCTATTAGTGGCGGTAGATTATCGTGGCCCTGTTCCTAAAACGGCGAGAAAATAAAAGTGACTTTATATCCTATAGTATGAATAATTAATAAATGAATACAAGTAATTATAATTGGCATTAATAATATATATATTGTTAATTATTAGAATACAAAGAAAATATTCATTACCTCAGCTTCACTTTTAAGATTAAAGCATGATTTACCATCAACAAACTTGGAGAACACGGGATCTCAACAAATTAGAGAAATGTCTCCAGTAAAATCCCAAACATCCATTTCAATTTTGCCCTACAATATGAAATATAGCTCATCACTTCAAATTTTGGTGTTTGAATTATTTATTATAGAAATTTTGAAATCAGACTCTTATACCTGAAGAGAGGTACTTTGATATCTCCATGTTTTTCACAATGATAATTGTTGCCAGAACGTTAGACCTTCTTTGGACACTTTAGGCATGAGATGTACCACCAATTTTGTGATATATTTCTCACTTTTGCGCATACCCAATGCTCTCCAATCTATAAAACATATACATATCCTTTTTATATATTCATTTTGTGAATGATATGAGATGCCAAATGATTCATTTAAAATCAAAATAATATCAAAGAATAAACAATATCAAAGTATATATAAGTGAATTTACCATTTTTCCATCAACAAAATAGTCAAGAGTCCTAACATCAATATTTCCAGCCGCCAATTCCTCAAGTTCTGATTTCTTTGATACAACACTCAAGAATTATCGAACCTCCTTCCATACTTGAAAGCCTATATAAAAGTCATATCATAAATTAATTAAAATAGCAAGATTAGTATGAAATAATATGTATTGAAATGATGTTAATCATAACTGCATTCAATTCTAAATATATTCTCCAATGTCTACCCATTTGCATAGGAATTTTAGACTAATACGTTATTTATAATTAATATTAATTTCCTAATTATTTGAGCCCACTGACCTATTGCAGGATATGATTTCCTCATCATAAGGGAGTAATATCATTACCTATAATATATCCGCTCAAAAAGGGATATCTTCTCTCAACCAATATAATATCATTTTTTGAAAATAAAAATACATTACCTATCTTTATAGGCTTGGATCTGCGGCACAAGAACACCAGTCTCTACCCTCGTGGCATTGTATGAAGTTGCGATTGTTACAATATCTAGAAATATAATAAAAGTTAAAAAAAATGTGAAATTTTACTATATGAGAAAATATCTAAAGAAATTATGATCTTACTCCCACGATAACTCTCCCCTATCTTTGCACGACACATTTGAAGAATCACCACAGTTGGAGGTCTATCGTAAGTGCTGACATATGACGTAAATTCATTGATATGGTGTCCCCACAGCGAACATGTCATTCGTTTTCCCCTAGTAATTAATTAGGGAATTGCGAAATCTACAGATCAACAATGGTTTACAAAAAATATAATCTAATAATAATAATAATAATAATGAACAATTAATAATAACTATTATTACTTAATCAAGATCCTCAAGGACGATCTCCATCACTTGATTGGCATAACCACAAATTTTCTTGGTTTGCACCTTACCAAGCTCGGCCAACCTTCCAATGACGTCTGCAGAAATAAAATGATATATCAAATTAAAAAATTTAAATATCAAATTCTTAATTTCAAAAATAAAGTCAAAAGAAGTGTTACATAGTATAACATCAATATACCGTAGAATAATATATGAAAAAATTAAATATACTTACCAATGAGAAGAGTGTAGCAAATTTTTTCGGGAATCAATTCTAAGAAGGGTGTAAAACTAAAAGTGTGATCAGGAAATTTCGCATCCTCAATTTCAATGCACAAAGTGCGTCCGTTGAAGCAAAAATGATAGTTGGCAGTTGTTGTTTTATATTGGTCCTCTTGCCACTCCTCCAAGTGGTAATTTTTTATAGCATAATTTTTTCCTTCCACAAGAGTCTTCTTGATATCTCTATCCTTTTGTTTTATAGTACCTTGAATCTGACCTCCCTACGAACACATAAAAAGTATTTAAATTTCATATGCAACATATCAAATAAAAATCTACAACTTAATTTCTTCATGTGCGTGTGTATGATGAAACTAATGTGTGTATGAAAATAGGAAAATTTGTATGAACCACACACAATAAACATATCAAATAAAACCAAAAAAAAAAAAGAAAAAAATAAAACAAAAATTCACGTTTCCTCGGAATCATATTGCCGGATATAATANAAAACAAAAAAAAAAAGAAAAATTTACATATTGCAGGATATAATATCAATAGCTATGAATAGCATATTAGATAGCTAGACTAAGAATATTCTACAATATACGCACCTCGGAATCATGAAAGATGCACTCAATAAAGTGAATCACGTTTCCTCCATGGGTTGTAACTCTTTCGTACATCCTAATTAGACGAAGTTTAAGAGCCAATTGTGGCAATGAGTTCGTCAATTTTTTTATTGACACAAAAAGGGGAGGCATTTTTTATCAACTTTGTTTGTTGAGTACGTATACAATATTTCTGCTGCGATCGTAGTCTTAATCTTATTCAATATTTATATAATCACATCACACGTAAAGATGGTAAGATGTGTATATTAATTAATAAGTTAATTATAATTGACATAAAGATGGTAATATATTTATATTAATATTTGCATAAAAATGCAGCAAAATCATTCTAATTGTTTTGATACCATCGTTATGTAAGTTAAAGAAAAAATCTGTGTTAACATTGCTAATAAAATCTTTGCTCACAGCCAAGCAAGATTCACAGGATCAATAAATACCGCTAATTGGATTGGTCCAATTTTATTTTCGTAAGTAAAATCAATTGTACAAACAAAATAGGGACACGAACAGGAAATTGGTAAGCGGAAAATCAATTTGCTAATATTTGGACCAATCAATTGTAAAATCAATTTGCCACGGGCAAAATCAATTGTACAAACAAAATTTCCAGTTTTAGCCGAAAAATTTTAAGCGGGAAAACTTCGTCCATTCTTGGCAAAATGGATTCGTCCATTATATAGATATAGATTATTATTAACCGTCCTAAAAATACATTTATGTCATTTTCTATTAAAATAAAAAATTCACTCTCCTCTCACTACACTCTCTCTCGTTTCACTTTTCAAAAATACTTCCGACAAATTCCGACGAAAGAATGCCGTCCGACAAGGTACGGTTAAATTTTATTCTGGCGGCCGGCCGGCCAGATTGCTGCTGGCCGACCGTTGACCGCGGCCGGCCCTAGTCTAGCCAGCTTGACTTTTCCGGCAGTGCCCAATACGGCGGCCAATAGCTGGCGGCCAGGCCATTCCTTGCCAAAAAGTGAGGCCGGCCAGACCTAGACTGGCCGTTGTCGCCGGTCGTGTAACACCCCGCTTATCAGAGTATCTTTTTCGCAACTTTTACTTCGAAAATACTTATAAATCTTTCGAAATCTTTTGCGAGTATCTCGGGATGCTACTCAACATCATCTTCTTGAAAATCAGTTTATCTTTAAACTTTGTCTAATACTTCTTTAGACATAAAGAAAACAGATTTATTCAACTTGCATTTAACTGTATCATATTCATAATTCTGAATGGTAAAAACTTGAAATCGGAAATTTATTACTATGCAAAGTCAGATCTTAATATGCATAGCGGAAATACTTGAAAACGTGATTAATTATACAGACTGTTTTAAATGTCCATATAAAAACTTGTCATGATCTGAATCCACGATCCACACCATCACTGCTCCACTCACACCTCCTCTTCGACTTGTTACCTGAAAATAAACTTATGGGGATGAGTACTGAATAAAAATAATCATAAACCGATATCTGATCGGTAACCAGGAATCTTTCTGGTACTGAAACTTAATCTTTTCTCTTTCTCTTCCGATATCTGATCGGATACGTGTGCACACTCTGATGGATATTTCTCAAGGCAACTCAACAGGCCTCCATCAGAACTTAAGGTATACTCTGAGACAACTGAATGCCTCCTCATCCCAAGCGTATAAATCAGAACTTAAGATATACTCTGAGACAACTGATGGCCTCCTCAGCCCAAGTATATAAACTTAAACTTTTATCAATATCGTACTCAATGTGATACCCACTCTGGGTCCCCACCTTTTGTCTTTGAAAGCATTTGAAAAACGATAAGTGCTGTATTGGATAATTGTATCTGCAAATTACATAAAATATAAACAAATATACTAAGTACTATGCTCGTATACTCAATAAGATATTAGGATTCTTAACTTATCTAAATCTTATAGAAATTTAATAGACATGCTATTGCTCAAGTTAATACTTTTCTTGAACTTTTACGCAAGGTCTATTATAAATCATGTCTTCAAAATCATAGATATTTGCTTATACTCGCATGTCACTTAAATAACTCGAGTGTGAAAATAACTAAATTTCACATTATACTTGATTGAGTATTTAAACTGAAAACATGCTTAACTTTTACCAACATCATATTCATGATTTATAAATAATGAACTCATCTTAACCTGTATGGTACTAAATATTTCAACTTAATACTCATACAATACAACTTTTAATCATAATACTAAATCATGATCTTAATATATGAGATTTAAAACAATCTTTATAAAACTTGTAAACTCAACATATTAAACAAAAACTTTGTCAAATTGCTCATCAATCATATGAGAATTATTCATAAAAATCTCACTTTAACAATTTGATCATATAATGAATATTCTTGCATATATACTCATCTTTACATATATGCCAACTTATTATCTTAACTCCTTCATTTCTCATCTTTAAATTATGAAATTTAACAGCCATATTCTTAACTAATAATTAGATATGTCATAAAATTTTCATAATTTTATCGTACATATATCTCGACTTATTCAAGTTTAAAGTTGCTGCTGGAAACAAGTACATAAAATTCAGCTTTCATGATAAACTTTAAAAATTCATATCTTAAGTTATACTAAACTAAATGACTTGATTCTTGATCCTATGTACTCCTCTTTTACACAAGAAATACCCATAGGAAGCATATATTTCTATATTTTTCATAGCTAGGTAAAAATCTCATCATAACTGAACACATATGACATATATATGAGCTGGAAATAACTTATCTTCTAGCATGCTAATACTCATATAAAACTTTAATATCTAAGTCATATAAAAATATCATTAAACACTTAATATCATCTACTAAATATGTTAAAAGGATAGCATCTTACCTCCTTCTTGCTTGAAAATCTAAAGTTGCTCCTTGATTTCTTCGAAAATTAAAACTCTAATATTTTTATTTTTATTTCTCTCTCTTTCTATCTTTTTGATGAAACTATGATGATTTGAGAAGATACTTGATGATAAAATCTGATTGAAATTTTCTCTATTTATAGCCATGAATGAGCTTTTGATAGATAAAACTTAGTCCACCAAAGTGTAAAAAAATTCTCACCAATTGTTGAAAAAAATGCTGACTTAAAGACTTAGCAAAACTTTGTTGTGATTTTCTCATCTCATTCTCACCAATTGATGACCAAAATTTTTTGCTTGATTTGATGGAATTGATTGTATATATTATTGAAAAAATGTCACCATTCATCATATAAAAATCTTAAGAAACAAAATAATAAAAATAATAAAAATCATCCTTTTTATTTCTTATGCATTTTCTTTCAAAATGGCTGACTCTTAAAACTATTTTTATGAAAATTAATGCTCATATATGGTCTTAGAACATGCTAATAAAAACAAGAATAATAAAATTTACGGAACTCAATTCGGACTTAAAATGAACGTTTATCGTAAAACTGAAAATTCTAAAATTTAAATCTTTTACTCCTGGTGTTTCCTTCAATTTATTGAACATATTGCTTCTTAGAAGCTAATATAATGATCTTGGAATATTCTAACATTTACGGAACCACATTCGGACTTAAACCGAACGATTACGGTAAAACCGAAAATTCTAAAAATTTCGGTTTCTCTTAAAATAATTTAAATAAACTATAATGTCTAAATAAATTTTCTCACTTCTTTGAACATTTATAACTTAAATGTTCATGTATATTGTTTGTCCCATTTTTGTGCCTTTATTTCATGTTTATTTTCTTTTTGTTTTCCCACAATTGTAGGTTTTTCGTAGTTTATTTGGTCCATTTCGTTCGTTTTGTGTTTTTGCCTTTAGTTTATGTTCATGTGTCTTTTTGTCGTGTTTTGCTTCGTGTTTTTCCTTGTTTTTGTGTTTTCAGGAGGTAGGTTGTGCCAGTCGAGGTTGAGACTATTTGAGCCGAGACCATGATATCGAGAATACCCGTTGCCGAGCCTAGAAGCCTAAAGAAAGGTTAGAAAAACGGACAGAATCTAT